CGATTATCATTATTTATAGTGCAATTTTAATGAATGAATAAAATTAGTATAAAAATTTGATTATAATTTGCAATAAAAAATGTAATTAAGCTAAATTCCATCTCGAAATTTGATAGAGAAATTTGTGCTAACGATTATAGGCAGAAATAAAAAAAAGTTCCATTTTTCATATTAATATAAAAACTTACCCAATGGAACATTTTCTCCCGGTTTCATCATTAATAGAATATTTGCGCTGGGAGCGGTAATCTCTAAGCAGATATGATGAATATACCGCAGCATGCATTATGCTGCTTCAACATAATCCAAAATTTTTTTTTATTAAAATTTGTTTAGCATACAAAAAAAGTTTATATTTGTTTAAATTTATTTGAAATCTTTTTGTTTTTTTTAAAGAGATTTCCTGAAATATATGAAATAGAGATGTAACATGTAAATTTGTAATATTAGTTAGATGCAAAGAATAAAGCTGTAAAAAATTTTAGAACCTGATCAGGAATATTGAAATGAATGAGAAAGCCAAAGAGAAAATGAAATATCTTTCATTCAATTTTCAATCATTCTTTTCCTTTTTCTTTTTTTCACATTTATTTGTTCTTAAGCTTTATATCAATTCATTTCCCTCCGGTATTCACTATGGTAGTTAATTCTTCGAATTGTAATGCACCTTTTTAATCCTTTCTCTATGTCTATTTTTATTTTCTTTTTTCAATTTTCGAAAAAATCTTCCGCACAAAAAAAAAAAAAAAAAAAAAAGAGAAAATTCACTTACTAAATTAGGCAGAATATCATAGGAAAGGAAGAAAATTTAAATAAATATGCTAGATAACGATACATTCAATTTAGTATTAATACAAATTTGAATAGATGATGATTAGGGCAAAGGTCAAAAAATTATTTGGTAGAAATAAAAAAAAAAAAATTACTAAGTCAAATTATTTGTGTAGAAAAAAAAAAAACCAAATGATATCAAATGATTTAATTTATTTGATAAAGTAATTATCTGTTTAATTACCTTTATCATTTACTAATAAATAATTTTTGTGACATTGAGTAAAATCATCGATTATCATTGGTTAACAGATGATTTATTTGGAATTAAATTATTTGTTATTGTTACTGAATGATAGATGATGATATTAAATGGATTAAAATGTACACATATAATTTTACATTAATTCATAGTAGCATTTTAATCTTATCAGTCTTATCTTATCATTTTTCAATTAAAAAGAGAAATTTGAAATTAATATTACTCAAATACGAATTGATATTTCGACTAAAAGATTTAACATATAATTTTACATTGATTCATAGTAGCATTTTAATCTTATCAGTCTTATCATTTCTCAATTAAAAAGAGAAATTTGAAATTAATATTACTCAAATACGAATTGATATTTCGACTAAAAGATTTAACATATAATTTTACATTGATTCATAGTAGCATTTTAATCTTATCAGTCTTATCATTTCTCAATTAAAAAGAGAAATTTGAAATTAATATTACTCAAATACGAATTGATATTTCGACTAAAAGATTTAAGCAAAAATTTTCGATTAGAAAATGCTAAATTGCTAAACCAATCTAACTAGATGGGAAAAATATTCAGAAATAAATGACACACATACATACTTGATAATATAAAAGTCATCAACTTCGTATGTTTGTGATGTGTGATATGTTAAAAGAGAAAAAGATAATTACTTTTTCTTTTTTCTTTTGAATATATCTTTCACTTACTGATATACCAAAAAAAAAAAAAAAAAAGTTAGTTAAATTTTTGAAAAGTTAAATTGTTATATAAACTTATCTTCTACTTTATGATTTTTCTATTTTTTTTTTTGTTTTTTGCTTTTTTTTTTCTTTAAATAATAGTAACATAAATGATTTGTTTGTTAATAATTTCTAGTATGAATTAAATTTCCAATTGTTATTTGAGTTTTCACTTTTTTTAATGCTTATTAAAACAATGAAATAAATAAGCAGAAAAAAGAGTGAGTAAAAAAAAAAAACAGAAAACAAAAAATATTTTATTCTTTTTTTTTCTTTCTTTAAATGATATTTTGATGATAACAATAATAAGTTAATGAATTCAACTTAAGGAATACATCAAAAAAGATCTAAAATAAAGATGGATAAAGACAGGTCTGATTAATTCACATTTATTAAACATCATTTGGGTATATGATTTCCTATTAAAAGAAAAAATTAATAAAAATAAGAGAGAAAGAAAAATTTAAATTGTCTGATAACTTAGATTGTAGATGAAGAAAAGAACTTTCTTGCCTAATTTTAGATTTAGTTAAATTACATTTGTATTGAAACTTTAATGCTTACTTCATTTTCTCTTTTTTAATTTAGAAGTTTTTATTACACAAAAAAAAAAGTATGGGATTATTTTCTATTCATTAAACTTTTTCGAATGTGCAGGTTTCTATAATTGAAGCGATGACTTTAAACTAAAAATTAACTTTAATTTGATAATGCATAAATTCTATGTTAACAATTGTTCACCACAATATTTCTATTAGTTTGAAATTAAAATTAGAATTTTCCAATTAAAATTAAAATTATTAAAACTACTATTATTAAATTAAAATTAAAATTACTAAATTAAAATTAGAATTTTCGAAACACATTCACATTCTTGTAATAATTTAAAAATTTGATATAATTTCTTTGAATAGATATTTTATTCTTAATACCAGAAATTGAGTGCAATCATCTAAAATATTAATGTCATCTGAATCCGATTCAGTCAATATTTGATATTTACCAATATTTCTACAAACTATTATTAGCTTTATTTTTCTGCTAAAGATAGTAAGAAAAATATAGCTTATACATTTGAAATTAGCTATTAAATTTAATCAACTATGATATAGTTACTTTGAAGTTCATTTTTACAAAAGTTGAAAAATTAATTCAACCTTTCGAATAGAAGTATGACAGTTGGATATGTGATTAGATATTCAGAAATTTAGTGAAAAATACCGAAGTATTTGAGGAAAAGAAAGAAAACTTTCAAATTATAAATTTTAATAATTAATAGAATAATGTGTTAAATAGTATAATTTAATGATAAAATGTTGTTTTACTATTGTAAAATTTTGTGTGGGAATTTGAATTAATTTAGAAAAATATATGCTAACACTAAGATTATTTAAAATTTTACTCTTCGCCAATTATAATTGATATAAACAATCTTACAAATTACAAATTTTTTTTACTAATTTTTTCTTTTTTTTTTTTAATTTTTAAATGATAATCATTTAGTAAGATATTTTATTATCTTAAAATTAATATGCATGTATAAAAATATGCATAATGAAATATAATACTTACTTGGTAATGCGCATGATAGAATATTTGAGAAGCTAATATTATTCGTTTACTAATACCGTCTATTTCTATTTTCTGTTTATTCATATTCAATTTTTGAGATTTAAATTACCCAATAATTTTCATATTTTGATTGGACAAAGGTAGAAATTGTCGTTGTCTGTCACAGTAGAAAAAAAAGATAGGATTTACGGCTCAGTTACTTCATCATATTTAATAGCTGTTTATATCAAAGTTGTCTTTTTTTTTTTCCTTCTTTCTTTCTGAGAAGGAGGAGATTTGTGTGACACAAATTTACTGCTTGTCATCAAAGTATTAAAGTTAACACTTTATAGAAGTCAATTTGATGACATCAATTTCTGTTTTCTGATAAATTGACCAGTGAATTATGTTCAAATTTTAGAAATAAACACTTTCTTATAAACATATATGGCAAAAGAGAAAGTAACATCAAAAAATATTTTAAAATGATAAAAAAAATTATTCCATACTGTTCGATATTCTCATGCGAAAAAATTTTTTAAATTATAAAAAAAAATGAACTGAATGAGTTAAATTATAACCACTAAAAGAAAATTTTATACTTAATTTATTACTTATAATTAAAGGATTAAAAATTTTACATTACATAATTAAATACAAAAATTCTTATATTTTTGATCGACAATGAGAATACAAGTATTTTAATTGAATGATTAGAGAAGTTAAATATTTAAAGTTATGCAAATATGATAAAATCTTTTGAAAGTTATTGATAGTTAAGTATCAGTTAAATTTAATAACAATTATTCAATTAATTGATTTGTTGAGATGATCTTAATTCAATGTTTATTATACTTTTGAAATAATTACTTTTTCTTGAGCAATTTCTATAATGAATGATATCAGTGATAACTAAAAGATAAAAACAATAAAAGGTAGAGCTAACTTACCTCATACTGCCAAGTAAATTTGAATGATTGCATTCAGTCATGAATATATCTCAAAAGATTAGCAATGAGCATTCTCAGATGAAATGCCATTTTTTGCTTTGTGAAATTTCTAAACAAAAAAAAAAAAAAAAAGGAATGCATTTTTTAAAATTATAATATCAATAGGAAAAGAAAAAAAAGGAACAACAAAATGAAAAAGTTGATACGTCGCTAGGAGAATATAAAATTAAACTTAAATTTCTAGTGGTTAGACTCTTCGATCATTGCACTTTCACTGAATGATATTTATATTCATTGTTTTAAGTTCATTATTTATTGGCAAAAAAAAAAAATTTTCCATCATAAAATTATTATTTGCGTGTGGTCGAAAATTATTTTTAAATATAATATGTTCTGATTCTATTAACCGTTAGACGAAAAATAGAAAACAGTTTTCCGGAAGAATAAAAAGTAATATTCACATAAGAATGTCATAGTATATTATTGTATGCATAATTTATTTATTTAATTTATTCAACAAAAAAAAAAAAAAAAAAAGAAAAGAGGAGACAAAAACCTTTAATTTATAAGTGATATCATATAAATTTTTCTTGAAACTATCATTGAAATTAAAAGTTTGAAAAATTGATTTGAATGCATAGAAATTCCATTTTAAATATTGGAAAGAATTAATTAAGTAATTACTTGTCTCTAATTTTAATAACAAATAAAATTAGATTTGTATGAATGCAAAAAAGAAAAAAAAAGTAACAAATATATATGTATGTAAAGCCTATGAAATTTTTTTTAGCAATTAATGATTATTTATTAATTAATTGTAATTCATCGTAAAATTTGGCGTACTGAATTATTTTATGTCAATGATACATTATTTTTAAATTGATGAATTAAAATGTTTAAAAAAATTTTTCAGGTAAGCCGAATCCAGATGTGGAATGGCTGGACATAAACGGTAGACCAATTACCACAAAATCTGATCGTTTCAAGGTATGTTAACAGTTAATCAGTATTAAGATTACCTTATCAATTTATCACATTTCTTCAACTTTAATTTAATTTTTAAGTGATATCACCAAAATTAAAACAATATTTCTTTTTCATATAAGTGGTAATGGCTTCTTTTTTTTTTGGCTAACTCTATATAGATTTTGATAAATAAAGCTTAAAAATTATTTCTGATATTAAAGTGATAATTCTTTAGAGTATTTTAAAATATTCATTGATAATATATTTATTAGTGAAATTTCAACTGAGAAATGAGAAAATTGAAGTATTAAAAGAAAAAATAATATGCGTAATTCATAGAATAAAGTTGTACAAATTTTGAATGAGTAAATTTGAAATAAAATTTCAATTTTAGGTTACAACAGTTGGTCGATTAACAACACTTACAATATTGCGGGTGGGTAATGATGTGCAGGGTAGGTACTTGCTCAAAGTTAAAAATGAACTGGGCGAAGCGAAATGTGAAATTCTTGTTGAGGTTTGATTTATTCATATTTATGATGGAAAATTAGTTCAATTACATTTTCAAGAAAAATATTAGAATTAGATTTGAGAAAATGTAAGAAAAAAAAAAAAAAAAAACGTAATTTTAACCCTTCTTTATTACACCTTAGAAAATTTAACGTGGTGTATTGGAATGTAAAATTGAGATTTCTTGCATTTTAAAGTATAGCATTCTCAGCCAATGTTACTAATTTTAAAAAGAAATTATGAATTAACTGAAATTAAATTTTTATACAAAATTAAAAGTTTGAATTAATAGTAAATTAAATTAAATTCTTTGAGTGAGAAGAAAAACGATTTAAAATAACTGCTATTTTTAATATGATTGAAAGTATTTTTTAATTTGCAATGTTTTTGATTATTTTGAAATTAATAAAGAGAAAATTCCATACTTACTTAATCATTGTCGTTTTTCTTTTTCAAACTTTTATCGCATCCATCGTTTCAGGTTCCGGAATATCCAACTACACCGGATCGGCCAATTCTTGAAAAGCAGAAATTCAATTCGGTGAGCTTAAAATGGAATGCAATACCAGAAGCTGCTAGTAAAAAAGTACAATATATCATTGAAATGAATAAGGTTAATTTTTTTTTTGAAATAATTTAATTTAAAAATTTTCAGGATTCCAGGGAAAATGGTTGAATGTTTTTTTTTTTTTTTTTGAACTGATTTTTTTTTTTTTTGTTACTTTTATTATTTTTTTTACCATTTTAGTGAGTGAACGATACTTTTTTATTAAAGTTTTTTTTTAAAGAGATTAAATTTTATGGGAAAAATTGAAAACCTTTCAGTGTATTTAGCTAAGGTAATTTCGACATCTGCATTAGGTATAAATTAATTAACTTACTTGTTTTATATGTGAAAAAAGAAAAAAATCCTTGAGAACTATTTATAAGCAAAATCAAAAGAGAAAAGGAAAGAGAGAGAGAGAGAGAAGGGAAAAAGAAAAAATGTAGGAAAGAAGAGGGAAACTAATATTGTTTGCGTAATTTTAAATAAAATAGTGCTATTAGGATAGACATTTAAAATTGATTTAAAAGAAATAATTATTTTTCTTTTTCTTTTTTTTTTCGGAAGATTGGATGAGGGAAATGAAAATAGCTAATTCAGGAATAAAGTATGAATAAAAATTTAGCTAAATGATTGACTTATGCAAGTGCTTCTTCATCATTTATAATTTATTATTTGAAGTGGTAAATATTAAATTAGTACAGAAATTAAATTTTACAGTTTATCATTATTTTCAAATCATTTTGACTAATTTTAGGCTAATTTTTAGTAAATGAAGTAAAGATAATTACAATTGAAATATCATTGCTGCTTGCATAGAAATCAATGATTTTCTGTGATTTGAATAAAATCACAGAAAGCAATTTGTTATAATAATGATTTGATGCAACGAATATGATAATTATGATAATAAATGAGATAAGATGAAATATTGCAATGAAATTTGTTTAAATTTTTAAAGTACTACTTATTTGACATTGCCGATTGCGAAGAATTGAATTGATCAAGCTAAATCTATTTTTTACAATTGGTCGATTTTAATAGCATACTTCTCAAATACAGTAACTTCATTAGCATTTAAAAGTTATACTAGCAATAAATTATCAAATTATGTTTATAATTATTTTTTAATATTTAATATAAATCAAATTTTGCATTTTGAATCATCTAACTATCAAAATTTTTTGTCAACGATTGTTATTAGAATCTATTTTTTATTCAAAACCATAATTTGGTAAGAATAGGTCTATAAAATTTTATAAAAAATATAAGAAATTTTATAAAAATAGCATTTGAAAAACGACAGTTTCTTCCTTTTTTTTTGAAATATTTTACTTAGCTTATTACTGATAATTTCTAATCATTTTTAATCTATTCACATAAAATAGTTAAATTATTTGGTAGCATTGTAGAATAATAGATGAATTAATTTTAAATGATTTCTTTATATATAATAAAATAGTATATATTTTTGTTCGATATTTATTTATTACATTTTACACTTTTCAGGCTTTTCTCTTTTTCTCGTAAAAATTTTCTTTTTAAAAATTAAACATTTTTTTTTTTTTTTTAGCAGCTGTCCTTGGTTTAGAATATACAAGTTATCTTCGTTGCTTTTATGAGCTGTTTTGAATTACTAATTCATCGAAATTTAAATTTATGGTCTAATGATCATTTCCATTCCAATAAATAGTAAACAATAATTAATAAATTCACAGTTAAAAACATAAGCAATAAAGCAAACATTAAAAAGCTATGTATAACACAGTTATTTGTTTATTTACTGTATACATCTTATTAGGAAAACAAAAACAAAAATAAACAAAAAAAAAGTAAACAAATAAGATAAAAGGAGTATATTATAATGTATGCTATTATAATTATTCATAAATTGAAGAAAAATTTAAAATGCAAAATGTTTTCATCCAAATATGAAATGAAAAAGTTTTATTTTAGAATGGCGAGAAAGAATGGATTAAAGTAGTGGAAAGTGCTCAACTGAATGTAACAGTGGAAGAACTTAAGTCAAATAACACGTATCGGTTCCGTGTACGAGCCAGTATTGCTGATATTATCAGTGAACCATCTGAAGAATCTGAATTGGTTAGAAATTAAATTTACAAAGTTAAAGGGATAGAAAAAATTAAAATGTATTGAAATATGATGAAAAGAATTATTAGCAATTAAAGTGATTGCTTTATGCTATATTTGCCAAATAGATTATCAAATACATGACGTTATCTAATCCAAGAAATAACTATGATTTGATGATCTGATCTATTGTATCTTAGTGTAATATGAAATAAAAGTTTAGTTTAAAATTTAAAAAAGAAAAAAAAAACGAAAAAAGAGTTAAAAAATTGTTTTGAAGAAAAAGAAAACTACCAATATAAAAGTTATTTTATTTTTAATACAAAATTGTTTGTTGATCTTTTCTATTTAATATTAGGCTATTGTCTTTAAAAATAAATTATATTATTTTTGAAATATTAGAAAAAAAAATGATATAATATAATTATATATAATTCAACTTATCACTTTTATTTTACACACTTTAAAACCTACCACAGTTGATTTATCACTTTTATTTAAATTTTTTTTTTTTTTATAATATAATTATATATAATTCAACTTATCACTTTTATTTTACACACTTTAAAACCTATCACAATTGATTTATCACTTTTATTTAAATTTTTTTTTTTTTAATAATATAATTATATACAATTCAACTTATCACTTTTATTTCACACACTTTAAAACCTATCACAATTGATTTATCACTTTTATTTAAATTTTTTTTTAATAATATAATTATATACAATTCAACTTATCACTTTTATTTCACACACTTTAAAACCTATCACAATTGATTTATCACTTTTATTCAAATTTTTTTTTTTTTAAGTCATATGATATTATTTTAAAATGTAGAAAGTAGGTATAAAGAATGTTATCTTAAAAAGAATTACTGATAATAATTCAAGAAAGATACAGTAGAGATTTGTCTTAAAATAAATATTTTTTATTTATTTTTTTGGAAAAAAAGAAAATAGAAATATGACGAATGTGAAGCATTTGCTTTTGTATTCTTCAGGTATACTTAATTAATAAATTTTTAATTCAGTGAATTTATTATTTATTCTTTTGCAGTTTTTGGTTGAATCTATGAAATTAGAAAAGACTGAAAGAGAGAAAGAGGAAGCAGAAGAAGAAAATGAAAAAATTAATTATGATGAACTTTTTACCAATGTAAAACCATCAGACTATCGTAATATCAATGTGCTACAACTTCCCAATGATTTTGAATCAAAGGTAAGAAAAGCGATTATTCATTAAACATAGAAATAAAAAGGAGTGAAATTTTTTATTTTAATTTTTTAATTCGAATTGAATTTCCCAATTTCTTCTCTCATCATATTTTAATGGAAACAGAAATGAGAAAAGACTATTTGATGGAAATTTGTTCATTACTATTCTTCATGATGTAAAAAAGAAAATAAGAAAATTAACTGTTAAGAAAAATATTTATACAATTTGTAGTCAGTAAAGAAAATAATATGTTTATTTGATAAATTTAGAAGAGTTTACTGAGAACACAAATACAATATTATCATATAATTTTGTTTAGAATATATATTAGTCAAAGATCTTTTTGTAAACAAATGAAAAAAAAAAATTAAAAACTTATGTTTTATAGATAAAAACAGAAAATAGTCTATTGGAAAAAATTTTGATTATAAAAAAAAAATTCCAATAACAATAACAAAACTGCAAGAAAAAATTAATTTTTATTAATTTTCAATAAAATGAAACTTTCATTTTTTGTGCTTTTTTTCTCTCTCTCTCTCTTTCTTCTTTTTTAGTTCTTTATTTTGTCTCTTTCAAATATTATAAAACAGTTAAATAGTTGCAAAGGGTATTAAACACAGATTAAAATTTATCGAAATGCATTTAAAGTGAAGTCGTAAGCTTCTTTAAGAATTTCTTCGAGAGTTGCAATTCTGCAAGATTTTTCTGAATTGTCCCAAACAATAATGTGTAAAGTTCAAAAAGTGCTTATCGATATGAAATGAATCTATATTTAATCTTCAACACAATTATCTTTGTAATTTCTATTTTTTTTTTTTTTTTGCAAAATTTTTGATTTTAAATTACGGAGAATTTTGGTTTATCTCAATAATACGCCAATTGTTATTCTTTTTGAGTTAAACCTTATAAAATTATTTGCTAATTATTTTGCATCACTTAACTAAACAGCAATTTAATTTTAATTCCAAATAAACTTTAAAAACAAAAATTTTCATTTTAGTTTATAAATAGGATATTAAATAATAAAATATACGTTTCACTTATATATATATACGATCTAAAAATGAATGTTAATGAATGATTAATTTTAATTGTATTTGTAGTACATACTTTGTGAAAAGATCGGCGCAGGTACTCACGGTACTATCTATCGGGCAATCGAACGAGCAACGGGTAAAAGTTGGGCAGCAAAAATGATAAGTGTAAGTCCTGATATGAGCAAAGAAGTGATAATGCATGAAGTGAACATAATGAATGAACTTCATCACGAGAAATTGCTTAATCTTCACGAAGTATTTGATTTGGACAAGGAAATATGCTTGATTGAAGAATTGTTAGTACTTTTTTTTTCTTCATTCTATTGATAGGGCAGTGATAAGACTTGATGATAAATGATAACATATTAGATTTTAAGGAAAAAAAAATGTAAGCTTTCATGGATGAATTTATTTGAAATTAGAAAAAAGAATGAAATGATAGTTGTCAAAGAGAGAAATTTACTATTGTTTGTTTATATCGGCAAAATGGAAAATTTTGCTATAAATAAACTTTATTTTCTTTTTTCTTCTAATTTAATTAGCATATGCATTACTAATAATTCAATTTGAAAGAAGTAAGATAATATTAAGTTATATATTTCTTTTATTTCAAGAAATTCATAAAGATTCCATCTTTTTTTCTATAAGATCAGATCAAATCAGATTATGCAAAAAAAACCATAAATTTGGGAATTATTCATATTTCCTTTTGAATTTAAGCTGTGCAAATTTAGACGAAAAATTTTTAAAAGAAAATTTTCAGTATATCTGGTGGCGATCTTTACGATAAAATAATCACTGATGAAGCGCTAATGTCAGAAGATGAAGCACGCAATTTCATTCGACAAATTCTTCAAGGTGTACAGCAGATGCATAATAATGGTATTGTACACCTTGATTTAAAGGTCCATTACTGCTTTTTTTTTTTTTTATTAAATCATTTATTAGTATACTTCTCTGACAACAAATAGCACTCATTGATTACTCAGTGATATTTTACGATTTTTATATAAAATAAATAATTTAGCGTTGCATAATTATTTACTTGGAATAACTTTTATGGTAGATTCATTACTTGTGTTTACTTCTGAGGATATTTCTGGTACTCCTTAATTAATTAATTAATTAATTAGTCTTCTATTAGTTGCTTATCAGCTGCTCCACTTCTTACATACCACGTTTAATTCACTTATGAGTATATACGTAAAGTTCATTTGTCCACAAACGGTAAACCTATTTCATAAATATGTTATTTTAGCCAGAGAATATAATGCTTATTTCAACTGGAAACAATGATATCAAAATCGTTGATTTCGGTTTGGCTCAGAAAATAGACACTAAAGAAAGTGCAACATTACTGTTTTGTACGGCAGAATTCTGCCCTCCGGAAGTTATAAATATGGAACCGGTTGGTTTGAGTGCTGATATGTGGGCCACTGGTGTGATTACTTATGCATTGTAAGTTTTATTTGGTAATCAAATGCACATAGATATGTTTTTACAGTGTTGTAGAAAAGAATTTTGAATGTATTTGTTTGTTAAGTAGTTGCGCTTACTAATATATACGATATGATACAACAAATTTCATCTTAAAATTCAATTTCAAAACTGAAAAAAAAAGGGAAAAAAAAATGCGATTTTGGATTTGAATGTAGAAACTGTTGTCCTAGTTTTTTTTTTTTTTTTTAGATTATCCGGTGCATCACCGTTTGTCGGAGCAACAAATCAGGAAACAATAGTAAATGTATCATGTAGTGATTGGCATTATAGAGATACAATCTGGAATGAAGTTTCCGATTTGGCTAAAGATTTCATTGCTAAATTGATTGTCAAAAATAAACACGAACGTATGACAGTGGCTGAGGCACTTGCACATCCGTGGATAACAACGCAAAAGTTAAGAACGAAACGTGGAAAAGTACCTTTGAGCAAAAAGAAAGATTTCTTCATTCGTAAACAACCCAGTAATGTGCTCGTACCAATTGGTAAACTTATCAAAATTGGTGCTATTTTCCGTCATCATTCAATGGATGGCGCATTTGAAAGAGCTATTACGTTTGAGCGAAATTTTCCGCCACAATTGCTGAAGGGTTTAGAAGATATTGCGGTAAATATTGGTGATTTGAGTGCCTCATTAATGTGTGAAATTGAAGCATTACCGCAACCAGTGATTCAATGGTTCAAAAATGACAAGGAAATTTGCATGGAAGCTAATAAATATGAAATGAAATATGATGGCTCTATTGTTAAATTGAATATAAAGAATGTTGTTGACGCAGATTCTGGATTATATTCAATAATTGCTACAAATGCGCTGGGCTCTATTAGAAGTGAAGCTAAGGTATCAATAGAGAAAGTAAAAGGGAAGAAACAAGTTAAGAAAATGATCCCTAAAGAAACTGACAAAGAAAAGACAAGAGCAAAATTTGAATTTAATCCTAAACTTGCTGACATAAGCGCAAAAGTTGGCGATTCAGTATTACTCTCAGTCGCAATTAATTCACATCCTCAATCAGAAGTCCAATGGTTCAGAAATGATGAGATAATTGATATCAATAATCCAAGATTTGTCATTAAAAAAGACAACGGTCATCATAGCTTAAAAATAATATCATGCGAAATCACGGATGCTACAAGATGGAAAGTCGTGGCGCAAAATGCCACTGATCAATGTGAAAGTGAATGCATTATCAACGTAGAGGTTTCACATGATTTAAAAGCTCCCGAATTTAAGAAATTGCTTGCAAATATTCAATGTGAAGAAAATTCAATGGTGGTTCTTGAAGTAAGTGTACTGGCAAGACCACCACCTGAAATCACTTGGTATTTCGGGGAACGTGAATTGCGTGAAGGAGAGCGCTATAAATTACAGTATGATGACAAGAATACATATTCGATTACAATCCCTAAAACTGCTACTGAAGATAGTGGAACATACAAATGTTGCGCAAAGAATCTTGCCGGAATTGCTGAAACGACATGCACTCTTGTTGTCAACAAATCACTCACTGATAAGCGCACTATAGAAAGTGATAAAGCACCGATATTCCAGATGGCATTAAAAGACTGTAATGTGCTGGAAGGTGACAAATTGACTCTCGTCTGCGCTGTTACCGGTTCGTTTTTTTTATGCAAGAAAACAGAAATTCATTAATTCGTGTCATTTTTAATTAATTAATTTCTCGTTTAAATTTTAAAAAGCAAAAAAATGTTTTTTTTTTCTTTCAGGTATACCAAATCCTTTAATTAAATGGTTCAGAGATGATAAAATACTTAACGAAACTGATTATACAATTAAGGTTAATTTTTAATAGTTCGTGAAAATTCTACAAATATTATAAGTTTATTAGCAGTTTATTAATTATTTAATTGCTTATTCAGTTCTTGTTTTTTTTTTTTTTGAAATTCAGCCTAAATTTTTTTAAATTCCTAAATTGTTTTTAATTCTTTAATATTTCGTCATGAAATTTATGAAATCGAAGTTTGCAGTATGAAAACGGTATGTGCACACTTACAATTACTGGAGTAAAGCCATACGATGCTGGAATTTACAAATGCATTGCTGAAAATATTAATGGTACTTCAAAATCAGAATGCAAAGTGCACATTGAAAGTAAATTTTAAAATTTCTCTTTTATATAAAATGAAAAAAATTACTAAAAATTACGTAAAATACTGTCATTTTCAGTGTTTTGCAAAATTTTTTCCGAGTTGTCCTGATGAAAATAAAAGTGAGAATTAGCTTATCAACTTTTTATATTTTATCGAATGATTTTTAATCTTTATCATTTCTACTTCAGAAGCCAAAACAATGAACATAAAACCGTATTTTGAACAGCCACTAATCAATACTGCAACAAATTCCAATTCTGAAATTATTTTGGAATGTAAAGTGATTGGTAAACCTAAGCCAGAAATAACATGGTTTAAAAATGGTGTAAAATTATTGCTAGAGAATCGAATGTTACAATATTTGGATAGTGATGGTATCATTTTTTTTTAGTCCTATCAAAAATTAAAAAAAAAAATTAATTAATTTTAATTACATTAAGTTTAATTGTTATAAAATTTGGAGCAATTAGCTGCTAAATTAATTTTATTTTTTTAGGTACTATACGACTTAATATTATGAATGCTAGTGCTAATGATAACGGTGTATATTCATGTGAAGCAGTAAATGCATTTGGAAAAAATTGCAGCGAATGTACAGTAGAAATTACTGGTATAGTTTTCAAATAATTTAAATTTCAAAAAATTTTGTAGCAAATATATGTGATTTCTATTTCTAAGCTTTTATCACTCTTTTGGTTTTCAATTCAAAATTCATAGATAAAGATGCAAGCACAAAAGAACAAATACAAGAATCATTAACTACTATCGAAGAAGAATTGAAAGCACCAGTAATTATCAAACCACTCGAGGATATTGTTGTTTACGAAGGTATCTTACTTAAATTGAACTTTTTAAAATTTAGCTAAAACTATTCCAATAAATATGAAAATAATATATTAGGTAAGAAATTTATATCTTTCTTATTAAAGTTATTAGAATTTAATTACTGCCTACAAATAATGAATATGATGGAATTAGTTTTCAAATTAATTTTCAGATTTACTTTTCAAATTTTAATTTTTAAATTTTACACAACCAATATTCATTCTTCTTTACAGGTAGTCATAAAATACTTGAAGTTGAAATTGAAGCTTATCCAAAGCCTATGATCGAATGGTTCCTAAACTCTAAAATTATTGATGAAAGTTATGCCATACAAACTTACTTTGACGGACGCTTGGCGATTCTTAAATTCAACGATGCTCAAATCGAGCAACAGGGAGAGTATCGTTGTCGAGCAATTAATAAAGGTGGAAGTGCTGAAACAAGGTGTAATGTTGTAATTGTTAAAGGTAAATTTCTCTCTGAAATCTCTTCCATTTATTTCATAATGAAAAATGTGACCAATGAAATATTATTCTAAGTAAATTTCTAAAATTAAAAAAAAAATTTTTACATTTTCTTTTTTTTTTTTTTTTGTTAATTTTACACTTTTCTAGAAGAAAATTTGGCAAATGATGAAATATCGAAAATTCCAAAATTCATTGAAAAAATGCAGAATATAAAGATGAAAAATGAAGGAGAAGCGTTAACATTGAAATGCAAGGTATATTTTAATAAAATAATTTTGATAACTAATTAATGATATTATTGTTGAGAAATTAGAGAAAGTATCTGAAGAATTTTTGCTTGAATTTCTTGGAAATTTAACTAATTTATATATTAAAGAGAAAAAAAAGAGGAGTAATATAAGGAAAATATTTTACTTTTATTCTTTTTGGTTCTTTCAATTTGATGAAATCATTATCTTTTGCAAGAATAGCTTAGAATTCTTACTTCCATCAAAGTTTTTTATAGGTTAACGGTGAACCGGAACCTGAAATTCGATGGTTACTGAATGGAAAAGCTATTACGCAGGATGATAGAATCCGTATTCGTACATTTGGTGATGGCGTATGCATATTAGAAATTATTCAGTTGACCGCTGACCTTTGTGGTACTTATACCGCAATTGCGCATAATATCTATGGTGATGCACATGCTAATGCGGAAGTATCACTTGAGACTATCGGTAAGCTTATCAAAAATTCTATAATTCCCGTGTTTTCCGTGAATTCCCGTGTTTTCCGTGATTTTTTTTTCTTTATCAAATCATTTTCAAATTTTACACTTTTCTTTTCAAATCTAACCTAAATAATTGCAAGCGTACAAGATTTTTCGTAAAAAAATCGATAAAACCGTTACCGTTGAAAGATTTGCAAATGTTTTATAAATTTATCAGTGCTAAATTTAAACTTTTTTTTTCAATGCAATTTTGTTTAATAGTTGCAAGTTTTTTTGAAGATTTATCAATGAAAACAATCAAAGAACCATTCTTTGTGATAGAACCGATACGAGATTTAGTGGTTGAAGAAGGCAAAGTTTTACGTATTATTTGTGATATCGATGGTAAACCTCAACCAAAAGGTAAAATTTAAAAAAAAAAAATTTTTTTTCATTTATAGCATGCAAACATTTTTATAAGTCAAAATTGAAATTTCAAAAATTTTTTTTTTTGAAGAATTCCAATGAAATTCATTTTTTTATAAAAAAAAATGTTTTATTAGTTGTTTTGTCTTTTCTTTCTTTTTTATTCTTAATCATTCTATTTGCAGTGAAATGGCTTAAAGATCATTCCCTGATTAAGGATGATCGGTTTGCAATTCAAAATGAAGGAATCAATCATCAGTTAACCATCAGTTCTGTTTTACCTAGTGATGAAGGTATCTATACAATAGAAGCGGAAAACAAAAACGGAAAAATTTTTGCTGATATTTTGGTGCACGTTATTCCTAAATTGTAAGTTGAAATCGAAATCACTTCAATAATTTGTTTATATGTTAAAAGAATGGCAATTCTTTAAAATTTTCTTTTAATTATGCATTAAACATCGAAATGAATCAAATATTATTCATAAATTACAATGAAAATTTTTCAAAAAAAAAAAACTAAATTGTAAAAATTTTTATTTACAGAGAATCAGAAAGCAGAAAAGACAAGACTGGTTCATCACAGCCTAGTATTTCACTTAGTCAACCATATGCTACAGAAATTAGCAAAAATAGCCTACAGTTGAAATGGACAACATCCAAAGCTGATGATTCAAAAATTGAATATATTATTGAGCAGAGAAGGTAGATTTAAACTTTGAAAGTTAACAACAATTCCTCTTACTGAAATTTATTCAAATTGTTACTCATTAGCTTCTTTCTTCTCTATTTTAACCAAAATTTGTTACCTTTTTTTTATTTTTGGTTTCATGACTTAAAGTATATGGGAATAAAATTCAAGGCTTAACAAACTACAATAAATCTCTGACAGTTTAACTTTTAACTTTCAAAAAATAAAATTTATTTCTGTTTTGTTAAACACAGAATTTTCCAGATCTGATGATCAAACATGGACACAAGTGGGTACAAGCATGGAAACAGAGCTTCTGGTTATCGGTCTGCAGTCCGGTACCGAATATATTTTCCGTGTCGGTACTAAAAATAAGGTGAATTAATTTCATTTCAGTTTCACTCAAAAAATGAAAAAAAAGATACAAAGCACTTTGTTTTAATGCTCTTTTTTTATAGATTGGCCAAATAGCATATTCAGTACCATCAGCAGCCATTATGACACTTTTATCAGGCCAGAAACCGATTTTAAAAAATATTCCACCTGCATTATTGATACTTAATGAGAAGGAAGATATCAAGCTTAGCATAGAATTCGAAGGAGAACCAAAACCATTTGTGAAATGGTATCAAAATGGTGTCGAATTAATCGATGGCAAGAATAATATGACAATAACAACTGACAAATCTGGCAAGTCGAGTAAATTAATTATCAAAAAACCGAAAGCAACTGTCCATGCTGGACTCTATTCATGTCATATCGGAAATGAAACCGGTGAAGTGGTTTCCGAAACACGTATTATCAAACAAGAAGTATGTATGCTGAAATTATTCACTTTTTATTAGAAATTTATTGAAACAATGAGTTAGTAAGAGATAGTTCTCTCATTCATTTAATCGCAATTTTTATAATTAATTTCAAGTTTTGAACATTTTTTTGATGATTCATTTTCATCTCTTTTAGGCTTCCATTATGATGCCATAACTTAAAATCACATAAAATCTGAATTAAAAATTAGCATTAATTTAGGATGGAGTAACAGCTGACGAAATATCAGATGAAAGGAAGAATGAACTTTTCGATGGACAACCACAAATTGTGGTACCACTTTCAAATGAGACTACTGCGGCAGGCCAACAGTTTATTCTTAGCTGTGAAATAAAATCATCACCAAAAGGTGTAATATCGTGGTTTAGAGATGATGAAAGATTAGCGTAAGTTTTACTCAGAATCATTTTTTGACTTAACTTATAATTTTTTACTTTTGAACTTTTTTTAAATTTCTAAATTAATTTTGCATCAGTTATGCTAAATATGATTTATGCAGAGTAATTAAAATCTAAACTGAGAACCATTCTAAAAGCCTGGTCTCTTATCTAATAATATATTAGATAACTAACAGTTTCAAATTTAAAAACAAAAAATGTGATTGAATTGATGCAATTGAAACGTTTCGAACTTTTGAATCAATATAATGTCGATTTTTTTTTTTGTTTTGAAACACTTATGTAAATACTTTGTTTATGAGCACAATAATTTATTTTGATGAATTAAACTAATTTTGAATTTTCATTTTTGAAATATTGTTATATGAATAATCTATTTACAGATCTATTGGACGCTATGAAATGTTTGAGAAGGATAATGTTTACAAATTAATATGTCATAATGCTCAAAGTAACGACAGTGCGACATATCGATGTGTCGTAGCGAATTCTATTGGAATTGCTCAATCATCGTGTCAGGTATTTATGATGAAAATACTCTTTTATATCAATATATATCTAATTTTTATAACATCAAAATTCTATAAATTTAAACAATAAAAAATTTATTAACCTTTTACTGTGTGACATTCCGTATAAACTTTACGAGAATATTCATTTCAGGTAAATGTTGTAGCATCGATTCCACGTATGGCACCCAAATTTGAAGTACCATTGACGGATAAAACAGCTTTAGCTGGTAAAGAAGTAAAACTAAAATGTCGCATTCTCGGTGACCCTCAACCTCAGGTAGAATTTTCTCTTAAGAAATGTTTAATAAATCACTTTTTTTTATTTTCTTTCATTTAGCTCTTTGAATTAATTTTATCGACATCATATGATCTTTAGAAAATTCATTAACTTTTGAGTGTGTGTTATCTCAATAATCTTTGTCATATTTATCTGTGCCTTCGACTATCTTTTTTAGTTCAAATTCAAGTCTAACATATTTTTTTTTAAATATTTTATTGTTGCTTAATAATGAAATGAATTTGAAGATTGTATGGATGAAAGACGGTGCTATGATCAATACAAATCGCCGTCAAAAGCTTGAATTCATCGAGAATGGCTGGTGTTCGCTCACAATTTTCAACTGTACCGCGGAAGATACTGGTTTCTACCTGTGCACAGCATCCAATGTGCTTGGCACCGAGAGTTCCCATCTGATGTTGACTGTCGCAGAAATTGCTGGACCGGATTCACATCTAGTTACAGCGGAAAATAAAGAAATGCAGTACTGTAAGCCAAGATTTACCCGTGTACCGGGTACATCAGTCGAAACTACCGAAGGATCGACGGTTTGTTCACATTAAAAAAGAAATGATCTGAAAGAAATTTAAACTGTTAAATTATTCAGAAATGTATTAACTTTGTCTTTCATCCATTTTCTTCGAAGCTAGCGATTTAATTTCAGGTAAAACTAGTAAGTCGTGCTGTTGGCCTACCTAAACCGCTCATTAAATGGTTCAAAGATGGAAAAGAGGTATACAAATTTAATATCTGTTAAAAGTTACTTACAATCTTTGATATATCACTTTTTGGATTTTTATCAGTTTTAAATTAATATCAATTAAATGGAGCCAAAGTATCTATCATTCGAAAGATTATTTATATTCTATCCTTTAACTACTGAGATGAATATCAATATAATCTTATACAGTTCATTTCCATTCTTTTTCTTCAATTCATAAAATTTATACCTGAAATATCAAACGGTTTGGTAATCCTAATGATTAATTGATGACAACTCAAATCCAAAAGTGAAATTTTCAATGAACTCTTTCAACCTTAATGTTTCTTATAATATAGCACTATGAGATTGAATCATTTACGAAAAGTTAAAATTTTGAATTCAGTTTTATTGAAATAAGCTGTTCTATTTAGATATAAATGATAAATAGACAAGCCTATAATATGAGAGAATTAATTAATTAATATTAGTAGTAATTGTAATTTTAAATTAATGGTAGCTTTTTATCATCAATTATAATTGCTATAGATTACAAAAATGAACCGTGCATATGAAATATTACTAACCGGAGAAGGTGAATCGGTACTTACTATACCGTATGCAGTAACGAAAACAGCTGGTACATTTAAATGTGTTGCCGAAAATTCAGAAGGCTCAGCAAGTTTCGAGACGCAGCTTATTGTGCACAGTAAGTGGAATTTATCTTTTAAGAATTTTTTAAAAACTTGAAATGGAACTCTTCGATTAGTTTCAAATTGTAGATTTAAATTTAATAAGTTGAAAATTTTTAGCTCTTTTACACAAGCAATATCAAGAAGAACAAGCACCAAGTTTCACGATGGATTTGACAGATGTTGGTGCTGCAATTGGACATCCGGTGACACTAAAATGTCGTGTCAAAGGTATTCCTGAACCTCAGCTTAAGGTACTGTATTTTATTGCAACATAACTTAAAGTTAGCTTTTAAAAAGTTATTCTGCTTTCCATTTTTGATCTTACTTTGCTTATAAGTTAGTTTATTTAAGCATGACATGAATGTTGTTCCATTAGTCAATCTATTCTCTCTTTTTTTTTTTTAAACATTTTTCTTTATTAAATTTAACATTCTTAGGAAAATCAAAAATCGATTAAATAATTAAATTATGATTAATCATGAGTTGTTTTTTTTTTTTTTTTTGAACAGCTAAGGATTCAAAGAAAAAAGAAATAGTAGCGATGGATGTAAAAGAAAAATCACGATATATTTTGAAAAAATAAATGTGCAAATAATTACACATAATTTAAATATATTTTAAGTAAGACTTATTCTACTATTTATTACCTTTAAAGTAATATAAAAAAAAGTGACCAGCTTTACTGATCATTTTTGTATAAAGTAATAAATTTATTTGAGAAAGATAACAACAAATTGTTCATTTGATTTTAAGATATGAAATTTTTAGTGGATCTTTATTAATGATGCACAACAAACAATCATATTACGTACAACAATTGATTCTGCTTGGGCAGAATATCGGGAAGGTGATACCTGTGAAATGAAAACTGAAAGTATTGTAAAAACACAACAAGGTACTTATCAATGTGTTGCGAGTAATGAACATGGAAGAGCAATAACTCAATGCTATTTGTTAGTTGGAGGTATTAATTTAACTTTTTGTCATTTCTTTTTATTTTTGTTAGAAAATTGTTTTTGCCTTTGAAAATCAATGAAATATATTCTGAATATTCGAAAAATAAACATATAATAATTTGAATAATAAACATATAATAATTTTATATTAGATAAAAATAGAATAAATAGAAAACTTTATGTTAAAATAGCAATTTGAAAGATAAAAAACATTCATAATTCTTTTTTTAATTTTTTTTTTGTTTGTTTTTGTTTTTTTTTTTTTGTTTTCTAGTCTCTTATATGTTGTGAGATAATTTACAATTGTAATAAAAAGTTAATCTATAATATGAAATTGATGATTTTCTTATCTTTTTTCCAAATTTCATGCAAACATTGAGGATAGCAATGTCGATAAAAGTTTGTTGTGAAATTCCTGATCATATCATATATTTCTGTTGATTGTAGTCATTTAATATTGATTGATTGATTTGATTGATAATTTCAGAACCATTTGATGAACCAGCTGGACCACCACGTTTCTTAAAATGTATGCGTGATATATGGACACCACTAGGTAGAGATGTTGAATTTGAAGTTGAAGTGAATGGTTATCCATTACCAGAACTAACATGGTATCATCTGGATGAGAAAGTTCTTGAGGAAAAGAATATTCAGGTATTAATTTCTTTAATTATCTGAAAATTGAACTTTCATTTCTATGGATAGTTCTAATTATTGTTTTAATTCAAACGGTTACAGTACTATTTACTATCAACTATAAGTACTTTGACAATGTTTCTTACAATGAAAAAAAAATTTTTTTTTTTCATTTTTTCAGAATTACTTATTGCAATTTACTTACTAGAAGTAATTCATCTTACTTTTACAGATTTCATATATTACTCCAACAAAATGTCAATTGAAAATAACAAATGTAAGTGTATCCCATCTTGGTAGCTATTCTGTTGAAGCATCAAATATTCATGGCATTGTACGGACAACTGCATCGTTAAATGTTGGTAAAAAACATTCCGCAGTGGAACTTCCAAAACTTTCTGAAGGTTTTATTTTTCGCCTTTTCTTTTTTTTTTTTGAATTTGAACAATTTATAGAAACTAAGTTATGAAAGAAACACTTCCAGAAGATATATACTAATTTGATATGGTTCACGTTGACTTTACCTGTAATATTCTTTAATGAGGGAATACAAATTTATCAAAATTTTTTCAGATTCGAAGATAAAGTTTACAACAACTTTGCCACAAGATCCGTTATCGGATAGATCAGAATTCCCCGCGACTAAAATGCACAGAGTAAATTTTTATTTATTTAATGTTTTCAATTGATATTAAATAACATATTTTCTTAGCTTTATTTATTATGGGTTTTTTGATTCAGTTATTGTTAATTTTGAAGCATTTCCATTTATATCACAGCAAATAAATATTTTGCACTTTTTATTCTTGAAATTTTCCATTTTACATAGGTATCGAATTGCTTTCTGGCTTAAAAGAATGGCAATATTTAATTGATTGGAAATTCAAATATCATAAAAGTTTCATCCAGCAGTTTACCAATTATTCTTAATTTAATCAAAAAAAAAGTTTGGTTGTCATGATAGGTTAATCTATATTAGTGTCATTTAATAAGTTTATTACTTGTACAGACTGCAATCCGTCCGGATATAAAGCGAAAAGGTGCAGCACCGGCATTTTTAATCGGTTTAGAAGATCTTGAATTCCATGAAGGTGATGCAGCTGCATTGGCTGGAACAGTCTCTAAAAGTAAGAGCTTGATTTGATCATTTATTGAAGAGTTATATTTTTATAGAAATAATTTTCCTGTAAGAAATTTTTGATATGTTTAATGAAATTTGGGACTTTTTTTTTTCTTTTTTAGAACGACGGCATCGTATTCATGGTAGATCGGATGGGAAACGTATTAAACAGCTTGTGACACTACGAGACAAAGAGATTGATGCTTCTGCTTCTAGCAGTTCGGTGGAACCACAGAGTGAAATTACAAGTAAGTTCACTGGCTTAAATGTTCTTGTTTAATTTAAATAAATAATAAATAATATCGTTACTGATGAATAACTTTGGTCATGACGCTATTTTTATGATTTTAATTTGGTTAAAATTTTTTTTCAAAAAGAAAATTAGATTTCAGCTTTCTTTTTTACAGCACTAGAAGAAATTCGAGCATCGATTACTGAACGGAATAAGAATATTTGTCGACCAAAATTCATGGTGAAACCGAAACTGAAGAAATCAATTACCGAGCATAAATCGCTTAGATTGAAGACTGCTATTTCTGCTAATCCAGTACCAGTTGTACGTTGGGATAAAGCCGGTATTGTACTGGAAACTGGTAATAAATATTCCATTTACAATGACGGTGACTTCTACTATCTTGAGGTTAGGTTATAATTTGAATTGCAAATTTAAATTCATTATAATCTATTTAATATGAAAGTTAAAGGAAAAGTAGTAAATTTGTACAGCTTTCATGTTTACATACCTTTTCATTTCTACGTACATATATGAAATGAAGTCGTCTGGTTGTTTGTTGCAAGTTCGAAATTTCAAAATTTATTAGCTTACTTTTGTGCAATTTTCAGTTCCTTCTAAACAAAATTTATTACAGGTACATCACATGTCCAAGATCGATGAAGGCTTCTATAATTGTTCCGCTTGGAATAGTGAAGGCTTTGTAACATGTACCGCTGAAATTGAAGTTACACCAGGTGATGGGACAAAAAGACTTCGAAAGGGACTGGCAGCACCATCTTTCATTGAAGTGTTACCCGGTAAATTTAAGGTAAGCAATCTTATGAGGATGTTTTGGTCTGGAAATTTTTAATTTCAAATGATAGAAATGAAGTTATTAGTTATAAGTTCTTTTTTTTTTTACTTATAGGCGACAAATGGTGATCCGGTATCGGTTGAGTGTAGTGTATCAGGTTATCCAGCTCCAACAATCCAGTGGCTTCGAAACGGTGATATACTTGTACCTGAGCATGACCGCTATTTGATATCATATGATGGTGAGACGACGACGCTAAAGTTCACTAGCATTGCTACATCAGATGCTGGAAAATATGTTTGCATTGCAAAAAATCAAGAAGGTGAAGCTAAAACAGCAATGCAACTTGACGTTGAACCAAAAAAGTTATCTCCGACCGGTGGTACACCACCAAAATTCCGTATTGATGGGCGACGAGAAGCAATTAAAGCAGTTGATGGTGATAAAGTGGTTCTTCTTGCTGAATTAATGGAAGGTTTGTTAATTTAGTATCATTTAATTAATACGAGATTAATTTCAATTTGATCAATTCAATCGTTGGAACTGATTAGGAGCTCACACAAATAGCTTTTCGTTTTAATTCAATTTAATTAATGAACTTTCTCTTTTCAATCCAATTTCTCTTATAGGTTCTGAACCGTTAACGATAAGATGGATGCGTAATAACATGGAGATTCAAGATTCCACTGGATTTGAATATTCACGCGAGGAAGCGAATTGTTATTTGACAGTAGCAGATGCATTTCCAGAAGATGCAGGAGTATACACCTGTGAAGCGAGAAATGAATTTGGCATTGCTAAGTATAACGTACGCCTTGTTGTTACAGGTAGACTAATCATACCTTTTAAAAATGAAATCGTTGGAAATAGTATAAAGTACTAATCTAGATAGCATAATTGGAAGATTTCATTTTAAAAAAGATCTAAAAGCTTCTTAGATTTAAAATCATGAAAGATTCTTTATTGTTTGTTTGTATGTATGAATGAAAGTTTTAAGACTACGACAGAGATGCTCGGTGAGTTTGTCAAAAATAATTTAACAAATACTTTAAAAAGATATTTTAAGAGCATAGAAAGAAAAGTGGTTTGGAAAATCCGCCTGTTATTGTAAATGCACCAACAAGTGTAAGCGTTGAGCAGGGTAATGATTTAATATTACCAGTAACGGTACGTGGATATCCTGAACCAGCAGTTATATGGACCAAAAATATGGTTTCAATTGCTTCTGGTGAAAAATATCAGGTATGTTATTTGTTACAAAATATTTGGATAAATATGATTGTTTCAATTATATCATAGGAGAACAATTTTCATTCATTTATTTTGGTTGGTTAAATTTTTGTAGAAATTTCAGTTGATGAGTCTTACAGTATTAGTTTTTAGAAGTGTAGAAGTAAGTTTTTATTTTTTATTAGAAGTAGTTTACTAGTAGAAGTAATAGTACAAGTAATAGTTTATTACTGGTTGCATATTAAAGTTAGTTTAAATATTTGATAATAAATTTTGGGATAATAGACTTGTGACTTCAGAATATATACCATATATTGAATATTTCATGGTTAAATTAAAACATTTTTCTTTTCAGATGGTGAACAACGGAGAATTGTTCACATTGACAATTCGTAATTGTACCAACGAAGATCGTGGCAGATACGAATTGCAAGCAGTTAATCTTTCTGGTACAGCTAAAGCAATAATTGCCGTTGATATTACTGAAATTACAGAGTAAGTGTTTTGCTGTTAGTTTTATATTAGTGATTAGTGAAAATTGTACCTTATATCACAGTGTAAAGATATTTTTATTTTGTCTTGCATCAATAAAAAATTTCGAAACTTATTTTTGATTGACGGAATTTTTTTTTGTGTTTGTGTTTATTTTTTTATGGTAGGATATATTGTTCCACGTTACAATTATGCTGCTTTTATTCACCAAGAAGTAACTAAAACATTTCTTTAATTAGAAATTTTCCTAATTAATTGTATCTTTGATAGTGTACACAGTTTTTCGTCTATTTTTGTATTAATTTTCGAAAAGTAATAATTTATTTTAGTCTGGATGCTGTTATGCCAAGATTTACCAAATTGCCAATTTCGATTCAAAGTGCAATCGGACAGAAAGCGAGCTTAACTTGTAGCTTTAAAGTGCGTAATACTATTTATCATTGTTAATTATTGAGAAGACTCTTTAACTATTGAATAAATTATATACTTTGATTGGATGATTAATAGCACGAGATTTGTTTCCAAATGATATTTGATAGTTTTGAAATTATGTCTTATTCTTTTAGTTTCTTTTCAATTTAATCCTCATGCAATTATTTCAGCTGTCGTTTTCATAGTTTTTTACCATGGTCTAACTATTTTAGGGTTTTCAACCAACAGTAACATGGTTTCATGATGACAAGAAATTAGTAAATGGACGGCATGGTATTGAAATTTCATCAACAGCAACAACATCAACTTTGTCAATTTTACAACTAGCGAATGAACACCTTGGTGAATATCTTTGTGCAGTACGTAATCAATATGGAGAAGATTTAGCAAAAGCAGTTATCTTTCTTGAAGGTTACCTTTAATTTATAATATGTTGATATTTCATGCAAATTAACTCCTCAATATAATATTTTTATTTACTGTTATACAGAGTAGTGGAGTTTTTTTTTAAAGCGCTGATTTTTTATGTTATGGAAACAAAAAATAAAAAATCATAAAATAAATGCTTAATAAATCTTAAACAAATTAGGAAACTGAAATTATGTATAATTAACCTATATATTGTTTATACGAATTTTTAGACTATTTGCTAGAAAATTCATTTGTCATTTGTCAGAAAAAAAAAAAAAGCTATTTTCAGGTTCATCAGTGGCGCTATCTTTGTTAAATGATCATTAAAATAATAATGGATTGCTTATTCATCGAGAAACAGTTTTTGTTCACTTTTTGATCTCACTATCTATTCTGACAATATTACAACAACTAATTTATTAAAACTGTCTAAAAATGATGTACACTGAAGAAACATGAAAAGTATCAGCTGAAGAAGATACACGCGCATACATATATGCTATCGATTTGTATTATAATAATACATAAATTCAACAATGTATAATTTGTCTCTAAAGATAGTAACTAACGGGTGATTGCGCTTCCACAGATCGATGTATATTATATTTCATGCAACGATCTATTATTGTATAATTTCGTCTTCTCATATATTAGAAATATTTTAGAAGGAGTGCGCGCCCATAGATATATACTTTTTGTCCATGGCAATTATTACAATTCTTGTTTTTCATATATCAGATGATGCTCGTAGAATGTAAAATATTAATTTTACTTTGAATTAATAATGATTCAAAGATTTTTACACTTATTTTTCTATAGCTAACACAATTCTATTGAAGTATCGAAAATGAATGATATAGATATATCTAAATATATATATCAACTCATTATCATGCTATAATGATACACTCCATGAGTATCTCATCGTTCAATTGGTGATACTATTTGTAATTATTTTGTGGACAATGTATTGCCATCTGTTTTGATGCTGTATTGGACAATCATTATACATAAGTTATTTAGTAATTAAAATATACATTTTATTTCATACTTTAATATAATCATTATTTTAATATGAATAAGAAAGATTTGTGTGAATTATGTAATTGTTGTGAAATAAGACATTTTTTTCTTTTCAAAATTTAATTGTTTTACAACATAGCTCACTAATATTGCTAATTTTTCATATCATCTGAATTTGTAAATTATTTCTTTCTTGTTAACTTAATTATTCTTAAAATCTGATGTTATCTATTCCACTGAAATTTTGGCAATCTTTGGTTGCAAATATTCTCTTTGACCCTCAAATATTTGTTATCTTTGAGATGCTAATTTTCTTGGAATTCATTTTTTTTCTCCTCTTTCCAATATAATAATGTGAAAAACTTATATTGCCATTTTTATTCAAATTTTCCCTAATTTGTTGCCCTTGCATCTTTTTTCTTCACCAATAAATTTGCATATTGAAAAGTTTTGTGCTAGTACAATTCCCACTGCATTGTTTTATAATATAATTTACAACACAACAAAAGCCATGCTCTAATTTTATGCAAATTTTGCAATTTAAATCAATTTGATAGTTTGTTTTGATGAAAATCATGATTTTCTTGAAAAAAAAAACATTTATTTAAATAATAAAAAAATAAATTATTTAAATTAGAGTAATAAGTTTTGGAAAATTTGGTTCAGATTATTTCGAGACTACTAGATATCTGATTGAGGCAATTTTCACTAATTATGTTAGAATTTCAATTACTTAAATTGAATGATTTCTGAAAGACATTCAGATAATTTTATAAAAATTCTTCGTGCATTAAAAATGTTTGAAGTAAAAGTGCTCTCAGTTTTATGCAGATTTTAAGTGATAATTTATAAATGAATAGATTAATTGAAAAGTTATTTATTTGGTTCAGTTGTACTCGTGAGAAGCAGTGGTGCTGCACACTTGGTGGTGATCTAATCTCAGTGTCATGTCAAAAGAGATAGTAGTTGTGATACCTATGGAAGATGGTGACCCATTAGGTGCTGTACCTAATGATAAACTTGTAATCGTCAAGATACAACAGGGTACTCTAGCAGATGGAAAACTTAAGGTTATCATTTACAGGAAGCCAAAGACAAGTAATGGCCTAGCTATTTGATGCAATTCTCAATGATTGATTGAATTTGATAACAAAAAAATATAAATTAACTTAAGTTTTCCAGAAAATTTAATATATGTATGCAATTTATGGAATAATTTTAAAATTATTTATGAAATAATTCTAAGAAATTAAAGAAATTAATATTATTCCTAATGGATTGCAGGTGGGTGATCAAATTCTTAAGGTAAACGATACGATAGTACGTGACACGGATCACTTTTATCAGTTACTTCGTTTTGCTCCACCGGTTGCGTCAATTATTCTAGTACGTGATGCAAAGAAAGCAGCTGAATTAGAAGCTAAAGTTCATATACCACCTGAACGAGCGAGGTTAATCATACGTCGCGATGGATACACTTATTTTGTATCTTTCAATTTTTTTTTTTGTTTCTCTTCATTTTAATTAAAATACAAGATTATTATCTTTTAATGACTAATATCAATTAATATTTATTTTTAAATCTCATTTATATGAAATATAAATTCAAATTATTTTTCAAAAAAAAAACAGATGAAAGAAAAAGAGTAGTGTTTTGCGATTAATAAATAATCTTTCTGATGCTTTAAGACTGAAACTTGTAAGCTTCTTTCTAAGTTTGATCTTTATAATTTGATAGTAATATTTAAGACGATATCATAAAAATTATTCAATTCACTATACTAATGTATTTTTTTATTAAAATAAAGGATACAATTAATTCTTAATTCTTTTAGTAAAGAATATAATTAATTGTTAATTCTTTTAATTCTTAATGTGATGCAATTCTATTTTTTAGGTTGCTCGAATTGACTGGAAACCTGGTGGTCCTAAGCTTGGTCTTGGTATTAAGCATTACCAGAATCGTGTATTAGTATCGCGTGCGGATCAGAATTCGCTTGCTGCACAGCAATTGCTGATCGGTGATCATATCATCGATATTGATGGACGTCCAGTAACTGATAAAGATGTATGCCGTGAGCTTCTCCTCAAAAGTCTTCAATCACAACGTTTTGTTACCATGGTTATTGAGCGTCCGGAAACAATGGAAGCACGACATTGGGTTCAAAGTGCACTTGCCGCATCTGCGGCACAGGCTCCATCTGTTGCAATGAATAGTGACGTACGTGAAATAGCGGCTCGAGAGAGACAGAAATTAAAGAAATCTATACCGGTAGTAATTTTATAATTTTATTCTTCATTACAATTAATAGTATTGTCTAAATTGCTTAATAATGATTCACTGATTTCAAATTTCATATTTAATATTTTTTAATAATTCTATTTATTATTCAATTCCTTGAAAATGATGTTGTGATAGTTTCCATTATTTATCATTAGATCTATAACATCAACAATAATTTGAAATATCCTTTCATTTCAATTCTAATGAATTTAACTCATAAAATTAAACTCATAAAATGAGTTGAAATACGCTTAGAAAAGTTGAAATAATTGTTAAAGAATATGTTTTTCCTGAAATTTTAAAAGAACAATATTGTATGATGTATAATTTCTTAATTAAATTAATTTATTAACAATAACTACAGCCAAAGAAGAGTTGCATGCGAAAATCAACGACCCCTGGTAAACCGATTACAATTAATGAAAATAAACCATCAGAATTTATTATTGCAAGTGATAATGAAGGTAAAATGCTTCGTCATGTTAGACGATAAATAAATGTGATCTATCAATACTTCCCGGTAACTATTATGCATAGTTCCGGTATTGCTTAACTGGATTTGCAATTAATGCGAGCCAATTTGCACTTAAACATTCTCTTATATCAATTAGGCTAATCAATCATTCATAAGTATTCCGAATAAAGCAATAATTCTTTCTGTTTTGATTCATAATAATTATTAATTCAACAAAAAATTGAAAGCTGAGCTTATGGAGGTCCATAATGATAAGCTTTTTACATGAACAGACTCAGTTCTAGTTCCACTTCACATCATTTGTTGTTTCTGAATGCCGGTGTTGACCTCCTGTAAATAAATTCACCATCTCTAAACTTTTAACGTTTACTTTACTGGCTTTCTATGGACTATCACTCTTCAAAAAATGAATTCCAAATTTTCAATCTGAGCTTTTTGAATTTTCAACACTAAATGTGACTATAGTCTTACTTCAATCCTAGGTAGTGATTAATAACGCAGTTAACCTCATTTTTTATCAATTAAGTCTAAAAAAATAACTTCTAAACAATTAAAATTCTGCGCTAAACAAAGTAAGAAATCAAAAATTGCACTAAGGATTAGTGCAATTTCAATTTCTCAATTTTTTTTGAGATGCGTGAATTATTTTAAGGTATGAACTAACGAATTACATTTTAATGAGTTATACAGTAGTGTAGGAACACAGAAACATAAATGTTTAAACTGATAACCGTTCTGCAACAAATGCCATTATGAAGAAACTCTAATAAAAATCTGTTTTTTTTTAGAGCAACAGACATTAAATCAATAAACATTTACTTTGCAATTACAGAGATTCCAGTAACGGAGAAAAAAAAAAAACTCATCTAACACTTCTTTCATTCAATTAAAGTCCTTTAAAACCCTTTTAAAACCAATTTCTGCTTGCGCAATATTATATTTAATTTGAATTTGGATAATGATTTAATGCATTCATTTCCAAGCGGATTTCAATCATTACGATTTTTAAATAAATCACAATAGCCAATTCCTATTTGTTTGCAAGAAAAATATTTCTAGCATAGTTATGAAAATTCTAAAACCATTATTTAAAAAATATTTTTTAATAGCAATATAACTAAAAAAGAGTTTTTCTTTTGATTAAGAAATATATAAGCAGTAAATTGTTTAAAAAAAACAAAAAACAAAATAGAAAATGAAGATACAAAAGCAAACATAAATAGTGAATTAACAAGAATTGTGAAAAAGAATATAAGAGAAACTAAATCAGTAAGACATTTTTAGCTGGTACACAGATAGAAACACTTAATCGAGAATAAAAATCAGTTTTTAAGATTCATTTCCGGTTGTGTTCTTGTCAAAATCTGCGAGTGGATTTACATGTTGGTTTTGTTGCGGTGGTAACTGAAACATAAATAATAACGAATGCATTTGCATTTTCACAATAATTTCACTTAAAATCGTTCATTTGAGCTTTCTATGTTGTATTTTCGCATGTTCTCAAAATTACAAGAAAGGATTGCGCTACGATTTGCATTAAAACATAGTGAAATATAAAGTGGAGGAGCTTAAAATGCAATTTACTCATTTCCCATCCCATCAAATGTTGAAGAATCTTTGCAGTTGTTTCAGAAGTAATAGAATATGATAAGAGATTAAGGTGTAAAAATATGTAAAATTCATTCATAACAGTAATTAAAAATTGCAAATTAATTTCGACATACTTCCTGTTCGCTGCTTTCTGAACAAATAATTGGTTCGCTTCTCTTATTCTCCTGTAAATAGACACTACAATGAAAAATAAATATATGAATGTATTGCAGTCAAACTGACAAATAATGAAAAGAAAAAAAACTGAATATATTATGATCTTATTGAAACAACAAGCAGTAGATGAATATAGTATTAAAGAGACATACCATATCAGGGTTGGCATATTCAGGACCGTCCGAAGAAAAGTTTTCGTGAACTGAAAATAAACTTCAGATTTAACAAAAAATATAAAGTGGAATTCCAGCTAATATTCATCAAGATTACCAGAATAGCTGATTCAGTGCAGTAATGATATATGTTATGGCTCTTGGTTGTTAATTCTGACACTTTGTAACATTAGCCATCTAACCTTTAAGTAACCTAATGGTTATTTTAGTTCCTCACTGTTTCATCGAAATGCTAGCATAGTGGCTTATATTAACAAATAGAGCGCTGCATTCTTTCTTGATTTTATATTTTTAAACTACAAAAGTTTTTCAATAAGTAATATGAACCTGCATTCAAATCGTCAGTGTTAATATGAGGACCGTATTTTCCAGATCGACAACCTCTGTTTGCAGTATTTCTCTCTCCTCGTCTACCCCAACAACCATTATTTCGATGAAATGTTTGGCCAAAAGTATTTCGATTTTGCAAGTTAATGCTTTCTTCGAAATTGTCATTATAATCGAACTCTCTGTTGCACTCAATTGGACGATATCTACCTTCCTCACAGTTCCAGGAGCGATCATAACCTCTTCTTAAAAGCTTATGTGATATCTTTTACTTTTTACACTTCCTTTTATAATTTACTAATAAGGTACAAAATTTCCAACAACTCAAAAATTTTGTACCTTACTGTCGAGAAATCAACAATAGTATTACATGGCACACAGATACCGCATATGATAAGAGTGTTCATACTCCAAAACCAAATAAAAAAGAATTGTTGTAATACGATAATTGCTACCTGTATGAGGTGCGCATATCTTTATTTATGAAAAACGAATCCCTTGCATTATCACCTCCACCAAACTGTGCAAACGATCGGTTTCCCTGGTTTCTGCTGATTATCTCACCAAAATTAAGTATTGTTGGCACCATTACAGGCATGATCATAGGATATGGAATACCAAATCCACAAATACCTGGCCTTTAGCAAAAAAAAAAAGTAAAAAACTTATTTCTCGTATTCTACACTTGTCTCACTGAAAATAATTCCATTTGTTTTTAACTTTTTATTTTTATGTTGTCATGCTAAAAATTGATGGATAAATATTAAGTAGTAAAAAAACGATAAAATTCTCTCCATAGTTTACTCATATTTGTCGTAATTAATTTCATTTTATTTCCTATTTACACTGTCTAACTTATTTTTATATCATAATGAGAGGTGTAAAATAAACTTTGACCAGGTGCTGAAAGGCATGTTCGTTATCATTGTGCTCATCAAAGAATTTCTGCGCAATACTTCACCAATTTCCATATTTCTTTGGAAAGCTCTCAGAAATGCACTGCTAATACATTGCAATGATGAGCAGGAACACCATGGAGCAAATAAATTACCTTTAAAAGTTACTGTAAAATTATAAAATCGCAAATCAAATGAAGTGAAAAATCTCTGAGTGCGTTCTCCTCCACATTAAAAAAAATTATTACAGTAGTCATTAAGATCATTTGATGATTTCAATCTAGTATTCGAGATAACAAGAGAGAAATTTTCACTGAAGTTTTGCATGATTTCTTGCACGTTATTATATAAAATTTGCGTTTCTCTTTCTTTATGGATACATCTTAGAACATTCATAGACTTGTGCCATAAAAGTAATCTCAACCGTAGATATATTTCATTAAAAAATTTTTTAATCTAATTATCAGTCTATTTAGTTCTAATTCAAACTCATATGAAGCTCAAGATATTCAAGAACTCCGTCTGACTATCCTTAATATTGTTTTCTATCTAAACTGAGTTTTGTTAACCGGAGAAACATACTATATCCGTTAAAATTAAATGAAACAAGTGGATCGCGGGTGTTCGTCAGTGTGTCTTCATCACCATCATCATCATCGATTCGATCAATGTGCACGTTGAAAATGCCTTCTGAATCTCGTGATTTGATGGTAATTTCATATTCACCACCTTTTTCCAAATGCTACATAGTTTTAACGGATTACTCATTTGAATAAATCATAATTCAAATTCAATGAAAACTTAGTCTTATTAGCTATCATAAGGATGAAAATAGTCTGAATGAAAAAAGGATAAACTAATCCAGAGTTGAATTACCTAGAAGCAAAATGAAATATATAAGGATGAATTACCTGCAAACGAATTCCATTTGCACATTTCTCAAGTCGACAGTGAAACAAGGCTACCGGTAAGAATAAATTTTATCTCTCTGAAATTGAACAATTTGCTATAATGATATATGAAGACAAGAAAAAATAATTGTCAAATTGTCTCTGGCTCTTAACATATATTTAGTATCAATAGGACAGTACACTTGTACATGACATCAATCTTTCGGATTCGCTTTCTATGCTAATCTCTCTTTTTTTGTAACTTAATACCATTTCTACTTCATTATAATACATAACTTATTATTTTTGAGCTCATTAAAAGTAATGTATAGCAATAGGTAAAGCAAAGTAACCTTGTTAATCACTGATATGTCAAATACATCATTGAATTTAATCCATTTGTAAAAACCATAGTCAACCAAGTATACAGAGAATCTGGAATTCATTTACAAAGAGATAATTTCGTTACTAGACAAAGTGAAAATGTTGAGCGGAAATATTATTTGAACGGAACATCAACCAGATATGAGAATAATAGAATAAAAGTGGAATAAATAAAAATATTAAGATAAGGCAAACATCATCACCTTCATCCGTGGAATCCACAGACTGATAGCTTCGTTATGCATTTAAGTAAAAGAAAAAAAAAATAAAATTTAAAAAGAAACCTATTTGTGCTGTTCGCAAATTTGATTATTTCAGCACGACACAAAGAGCGACAACCACTGTCAACGCTCGCTTTCACCAAACAACCCACTCCGTTTAACTGGTGAACCAGTGACATGTCAAATTGTGGGCAAGTACTGTAGCGTTGTCGTCCTTCATGAAGAATCTTGAGAAAATCAAAATATAAGATTTTGCAAAAGGCAAAAATTATTAATGTTTATCAGAAAGTTGTACTGTACTAACTCTTTCTACGGTTGTAAAGATGTTCGGTTCGAAAACTGAAAAGGTATCAGCTAGTGATGAATCAATTTTATCAAAACGAATGCGCATTGTACGGGGATAGACATACGGCACATATTCTTTAAATGCGTGTTGTTTGTATGGCAGCTGAAAAAAACAAACAAACAAACAAACAAAAACATATTCCTGACTTTTACTAGAAATTTTATTGCGATGTTATCTTTTGCTGATAAAACAAATCCATATTTCTAATTGTTAATCATAGCTAACTATCTACTTCACATTGATCATGTATTTTTTGAATTATTTTCATTAAACAGCAAAAAAAAAGTAAAGAAGTAGCAGAAAATTAGAATTGCTGAGCATACATCAGATCTCGACTCCATGACGTATATGTCATCCATCTCTTCTGAATACAAAATACAATTAGATATAAAAACAATCAGTGATGTCTTATAGAAATTCTAAGAAAATAAAAATCGAATTTTAAAAAATGGCGCACCGCGATCACAGTCAAACCTAGCACCAGGAAAGCCTTCATCATAGTTACGGCGATCAAAAGACATGCCGTTTCCAACAGCTGCTGAATTCCTATCAAATTGCTGAAAAAGATAAAATTACTAAATCAAAAGAAACTTGAGTTTGAAAATAAAAAAAAATTGCTTGTCAAAAAAAGCTTAAACCTACTTACATTATTGCATTGATTTGTAAAATGGTTTTCAGTGAAAGTGTACGCTTCATTTCCATATGCATTCATCATATCATCGTATTCTATAATATATTTTGTAAGAAAAAACTTTGATTGCCTTATAACTTCTTTTACTTAAAATTGTTGTATTTCATATTATAGTAAAATAACGACTAGCTTTGCTTAGCATTGCTATCGTAAACAAAAAATTAAACAATGAAAAAGAAAAAAGTTAGCTACTATAACAACCAAATAACAATGATTCATTTTAGTCAACTAATTTGATAGTATAATTTAAGGAATTTGTAACAAAACATGAAAAATCAGTTTTTTTTTTTCTGTCCTTTTCATTCCCAAGTAAATCTCTGTGAACAAAGCAAAAAACTTGTGTTCAGATCTAAGAAAATCCTGCAATTTGTGTTTCAGAGATTTTAAGAGTTACCTCCTTGTTCATATTTTTCATCATTACCACCAAGCGCATTTCTACGGCATGCAATCGAATCACAATGATAGCGAAGGGGCTCTGTATGCTCTGGCATTGGTGACATGTTGACATTTGACTCCGATATATCTATCAAATGCTATTTCATTAACATAAAAAGCAAAAACTGTCAATCATATGATTATTTTGAAAAACTAATGTACAAACATACCCTCCATAGTAAATTTTTCTTGTTCTTCTGCTGGTACTAAACTGATATCTTTTAATTCTGCATATCCACCGTTTCCATAAGAAACCAGTAATCGACCTTTAACACAAAGTCCCACAGATGGGATCACGACTAAGTTACCTGTAAAATTGACTCTAGCATTTACATATTACAAAATAATTAATATTACATAAATGAATGAATGAGTTTCAGTTTTAATTACCAACGCTACAGTAAGGAAATCGGATGATTTGAATATGAAAAAATAAAACCGTTAATGCAGCGACATTCACGCCCGCTAATTTGCGCTGCCACTTCTCTTTGTTCTTCACCAGCATCAATAACCAGAATGGGACACATACAGTCGGTATCAATTTTATCACATGAAGTCGATGGAAATAATGCATTTCGTTCCACTTCAACATCGATTCCCTTATCAATCAAACGAACCTTGAACGGATGGATATAACATACTGTGCAACTGATATCTCTTTAATTTTCATGATGCTCAAACAATATTGAAATGTTTTTTATTACTAAAAAACTCATAGAAACTGTTTACACCTTTTTTTTTTTTTTTTTGAAGAGTTTCCAATGGTATTAATCATCCAAAATATCAGCATTCTCAAAATCAAAAGAGATATTCCGCTTTTGTGTTACATGTTTTATCGCCATAAAACATAACAGTGGCAATTAACCTTTGTTAATCTTTCATTTTCGGAAATATCTTTTGCAGCAACACGTTCCACACACTGTCCAACCCGAATTGTGAATATAGTACCTGGGAATATCGATTTTCTTAATAAATAAGTAAACACTTAAGAGAAGTAGTACCATTTGACGAGTGATAAGACATTCGAAGGCTTTTTTGTCCTGTCATTTATTAATCCCAATGGCATGGAATATTAAGAATGAAGCAGAAAATACTAAAAGTAAATTTTGAAAAAACACTGATACCAAAATTATTGTCGTTGTTGCTGACATGATCTTCACGATTAAACAAATCCTGTGCTGCTCCGGTTTCGCCTCCTTCTTGTATTCTGGAATCATCGCTAACAACGTGCGCCACATAAATAATAACTTCAGAACCTTCACCGGAATCACTGACATGGCTAATGAAACCATCAAAATTAACCACTTTTATAAGCTCGTCCGACATCTTTTTTCCCCAGTTTATGAGTTCGATGAATCTGCAATAGATAATTTCTATTTTTTAACTGTAACTTCTTAAAATGAAATGATGGAAGAGTAAAAAAAAAGGTAGGAATTGACATTATAAAGTTCCAACTTTCAAGATCAGTTTATGAAATTATTCTTTAATCGGTCAAATAGAAACTATCCATCTACGATTCTAAAATGTCAGGAATACTTATCAAGAATAAGAAAAGCTGAATAGTTTTAAGAGTCATTTGTAAGAATACACTGACCAACAATATAAATTAACATTTAATGAAGTTGAAAGTACAAAAGTAAAACTATATCATTCCAAAAATAATTCTCTTTTCAGTCTATCATTCATTTTCTTAAACTAAATTTCATACTATCTCATAGCAAAAATTTAATACCTTGTAAGAGGGTTTTAGCTCAGGTGAGATAAAAAAATTTACCTTTCTCACAGAAAAATCAAGGACTTTGTTTATCCTATCATTAACTTTATTTTTTTTAAAAAAAAAAAATACTTCTCTACAAAGTATTCAGAAATTTCTGTCTCATTTACTCATTTCAATTGATTACATAAATGCTACATTTGACATAACTTGTCATATTACTTTCCTTAACATTTCTTAATGCTAAGGTCAACTACAGTAAATGAATAATTAAAAGTTAAAATAATTAGTCAAAGATTAAATGGTACACATCTGATCATCGCAATTATTGATACGTGCTAAACGTACGAGATACGTGACTTCACAATCAAACGTGTGAGACTGTAGAAACCAACTGACTGACCTTCAATATGACTGACTGCAACAATGCGTGCAAGATACATTCACCAGTTTGCACAGTAAAAGAACATAAGACAAAAACTATTTATGCAAATTTTTTGCGCACTATGAAGAAAAAAAAGAAAGAATTGCAAGTAGTCAGTATGAATATTGCAGTTTACAAGTCATTATTATGTGTTACACGTGAATATTTATGTAAAACGAGAAGAGGAAGAGATATGCTGTAAATTGTTGAGATGGTTTTTGGATTAGCAATGATAATTTTAACTTAACTTTTTAAAGTTAAATTGAAATTTTTCTTGTCCCATAACAAAAAAGATGAGAATTAAATTGTTTCGAGACAAATCACCAAATTTGCTTAGTTTGATTGATTTAATTGATATTCTCACTCCTTGTCACCATTATATGAACATATTTTATAATTATTTGATTTGTTTCGTCATTTTTTCATTTCCTTCCCAAATATAATAAATGTGAATGACCAGTGGTGGTCAGTTAGTTAATATCATTACCAATCCATAAGGATAGTAAAGATTAGACATCTACTGGTCATTCCACATTTCTCCTAATGAAATGCTAAAGATAAAATTGGATGACACTGCAGGTAGTTACACCACAAAGGCAGTGAACTGCCCAAAAAGGTAATATGTAGACTAGGTAATAGGGTAGGGCAAAGGTGTGATTCAGTGGATAAAACAATTATCCGAGCAATCTGTCTCTCTTCCCGTCATTCATCCTAGAAGTCATACAGACGCTCACCCACTTCCTTTTCAACACCCAAAATTCCTGCAGCAGAGCTGCAATAGTTAGATAATATTTAAAAGCGCTGTCTTGCATGCGGTAGTTCACTTTTTTAGATTTGAAGTTTTGATGTGCCCGGGATTTTCTGTTTATTTTCTATACGTGACAAGATTGTGCAACATATATTTTTTTAAGAAGCAAATCTGATCGATACTGAATAAGAATGTTTCATTTCGCAGGTGGTTCAACGGAGGGAACAATTCCGCATCCAAGCAATACGCAGATCTCTAAAGTGCAGGTAATTGTATTTCTTTATTGTTTTTCTTCTGTAATCTAGTAGTCTAGCTTATAGAATATTAGCGAATAGAATATTCTTTTTTCTTGTAACATTTTTCTTTCGAAGATTTATAAAAAATGTTTCTGTTCGTTTTTTCAAGTTTTTACGGAGTGAAATAATGACTACTGGAAATTTGAATTTTCTTTTAGTTTGGCTTTTTACACAAATGAGACGTTCAGACAATATTTAGGAGAGTGAAAAATGTCTGTTAAAGTTTTATATTAGCTGAGATGTCAGCTGTGTTTGGTGATTGGTTAAGGCCAGTGCTCCTCAGAAAGGAAGATTGTTTGATTTCGCCTTCCCCCTCTACGTTTATCATCGTTGTGGATGGACATTGCCATTATTATTACTATTATAGGTCCAGTATATTTTTGTTTAGTTATTGTTCTGTTGAAGCAGTGCTTATTTTTTATGTTCTCTTTAACTACTTTTATTTCAGTTTTCACCAGATGATAATGGCCAGTTGCTTGCAGTGTCAAGTTGGGAAGGTACTGTCCGCATTTATCATTTTCCTGCTGGTCCAGTTACTGCACTCGAGAAGCGAATATATACACATGCTAAGCCCGTTTTAGCATGTACTTTCTTTGTGAGTTATTACACTTTCGATGCACTGGTAATCTATTATGCAGGTGCTTTTGATCAAAGCAAAGTCTAATGAAAGCTATGTCTTTTGCAGAGTAAAAATGATATTGCAAGTGGTGGTCTAGATAACTTAATTAAAACGTATAACATGGAGAGCGGTGTTGAATATGTTTTGGGACATCATGAAGCACCTGTGCGGTGCCTAGAATATTGCAAAGAACACAACCTGGTAGCTTCAGGAGGATGGGATTCTGCAGTAATGGTGAGTGGATTAAATATGTTGATATCAAAAAAATGGGATTATATATTTTCAATTTTTGTTAATTTATAACTTAAATACAAGGAACTACTGAGCAAATTAAAGAGGGTTTGAGATTTATTCAAAACGAAAATATGGAACGGAAAATAAACCGTGTTTATTGTTAAATTCTATCAGTGTCGTTTGTTCAGTTATGGGACCCACGGTCAAAAAGTTCTGCTGGGTTTGGAAATAATGGAGATAAAGTTTATGCAATGGATGTACACGGCAATCGGATTCTCGTTGGTACAAAAGATCGTAAAATAATTGTATGGGATGTGCGCAATCTTGGTGAACCTGAGCAGATACGTGATAGTCCACTTAAAGTACTTTTACTGCTTATTTTTGACTTAATTTATAATATTTACTGATTACTGCCATTGGCACAAAGCTTTGTTTTTTTGTAATTTGGTTTTAGAAAGTATTGCTAGTCATAAACAAATATCTTTAGTTACATTTCAATTATGTCTTTCCTGGCTTATCGGTATGGCGCGAGTGTTTTAAGGTTTTCTCTTTTCAGTTTCAAACGCGAGCTGTAAAATGTTTTCCAAATGGCGAAGCTTTTGTTGTTGCTTCTATTGAAGGGCGTGTGGCAGTGGAATATTTTGATATGTCAGCGGAAGTTCAGAAAAACAAATATGCTTTTAAATGTCACCGTGAAAAGGATGAATCTGGTACCGAAATGATATACCCTGTAAACTGCATCGATTTTCATCCCATACATAACACTTTTGTTACTGGAGGTATGTTGCAGTTTATGAAAGTGAACAACATTTTTGTTGTTACGGAAACCGGGCTAGTCCAATAGCCAAATTACACTTATGTAAGAAGAGAAAAATAGTTAGTAGCACTTATGTAGGAATACTTGTTTTCAGGCTCGGATGCACTTGTAAATATTTGGGATCCGTTTAACAGGAAACGAATATGTCAACTGCATAAGTTCGTTTATATATTTAGTCAGCAAAGTTTTATTTACTGTATTAAATTCATTAATTTGTGGAGTAGAGAATTGCAACATTTCTAAATGCATGAAACATAATCAAAATTGTTTTTCCGGTTTCCAACAAGCATCATGAGCGTTTCATTCAATGCAACAGGAACACAGTTAGCAATCGCAGCTTCTTATATGAATGAATTGAAAGAACGCCCTAATCCAGAACCCGAAAGTACAGTTGTGGTGAGAAAGATCACAGATGTGGAAGCAAGGCCGAAGTGATATATTTCTTTTAATTTTCACAATCTGTTATTTATGAATTATCGAATGATATCTGTTACTTATGAATTATCACATACGACTGCAATTATAGTCAGTGAAGCTCATGTCAAAGTGACTTTGAATGTGTTTTGCCATGGTGCTGACCAAACTTCTATTTTGAATTGCTGAAAAAATTCGTAATTTCGATAGCTAAAGAGTAATGAATCATGTTAAGACGACGGAATGAATAATTGCCGGTTTTTTTTCTCATTTGTTAAATTTTTTGACTCTGCAGTTCATTTTTTGTTTTCTTGATAAATGGATTTGCAAGCAAGAGTTTCAAAGGATGAAACTTTTGTTTTTTGAAGCTATTAAATTTTGAGTTAGATAACAAAAATGTTTGAATGGCACATATTTTACCTTTGTCGGTTTACTGCTGTCGATAGTACATTTCATTGGATTCATTCCAACAGCACCCTGCAGAATAAATGGTGTTTTTCGTTGATAAAATATGAGCCAGAACATTGCACTCATAAGTGAGATGATGACATGAGATAAATCTGAACAGGTAATTCAAGTTCATCACCTTCTTTTTAGACTCATGTCTCATTGCATCTGCTTGAAAACGAGGACTTCTATGGAGCATGGGAATACTACTCAGTGAAGAAAATCAGAATTCGTATTTGTAAGACTCATATATTTACGTAATATTCGAATAAATGTGAAGACTCGCCTTTCTACAGGTGGTCGGTGCAGCAAGAATTGTGAGGTAGTATTTGATTCCGGCCACTACCTGAGTTTGAGCACTGATAACTCTCACCAATTTGTAGAGATTTCTATATCTAGTCTGGTCATTCACTTGTTCCATCGCTTTTTCTGCTACTTCCTGCAGGAAAGAAGCGTTGAACATCTCTACCTTTACTTTTCTTTTAATTTCAGTTTTGATATATTCTCTATTTCATCATTGATAACATAAATTTATGCACATTCATAAGAAATAATATACCTGTATTTCTTCATCATCTTCATTATATGTAGCTCTGCTTAATCGTATTTCCCT